ACTTTATAATTTTTTTTAACTCTATTATTTACTCATTCTCATTCTCATCCATTTTCACTTGATTTCTTAATCCTTTTCTTACTGATTTGTGGAATTTTCTTGCTAAAGATATTAATCTACGTGTAGTAAACAATTTCTGTTATTTAATTTTCTGTCATCTGTCCTATAGAAATTTCCAGTGTTTATATGGTAAATATTTGTCAGACTTTATCTTCATGGCATTTATGATTTTTGTCATGCTTATGAGGATTTTCCCATGCCAGGATTTTGAGGATATTCCTCTGTATTTTATTTTGGTATTTTTATTGTCCTATTTTTTTTTTTTTTTACATTAACCTGGATTTTTGTATGTGTATGTGTAGTGCGAACCAGGAAACTATTTTTATTTCTGAAAAGAGAGCTAACTTTTAAACCACATTTACCTCATTCATCCTTCTCCCACTAATTTCATATGCCAGCTTTTAATAAACAAAAACTTGCAGTTGGATGAGTCTTTTTTTGAATCTTCTTTGTTTGGTTAATCTTTTGATCTGTTTATGAAACAATACTACATTATAAATCACTGTGACATGTTCTTTTATCTGCAGGGATCGGGCAGGTCCTCCTCCTCATATGTTTGTTTAGTTTTCCAGGAGACCTTGAAAGTCAGTTGGTCAGGTTCCGCTGGAAGTATTGTTAGGATTTTGATTGGGATTATGATGTTATATTTAGAGATTAATTTGAGAAGAGTGGACTTTATGTTATTTGAATTTTCAGAGTAAGTCTAAGATTAAGTTCATCCAAACTAACACATATCCTACTTCTTTCCCACTTCAGAAACTTCCATATGCTTTTCCCCAGGATTTAGTAGTGTCTCAGGGCTGACAAAGTACCGAGTGTTCTGACAATTTTTTTTATATGTTAAGAACGCATCCTTCTCTCTTAGTTTGCTGAGAGTTCTAATTCTTACCTGGAAACATTGTTAAATTTTATTAGATGGCGTTCTCTGTATTGACTATAACTGTTTTTCCCTTTGGTACATCACTATGATGATAGATATCACTAGTCCTTTTATAGTGACTCATACCTGCATTTATCAGATAAGCCCTACCTGATCAAGATATTTTATTTTAAATTACCATTAGTTGTAGTACGCTAAACTCTTTACTAAGGAATTATTTTGGTTATCTTTTGCAGCATGACAAACCACTCAAACTTGGTGGCTTCACGGCAGTTTATTATTGTTTTTCATGGTTCTGTGTGTTGGCTAGACTTGGCTGGACAATCTTTGCTCAAGGACTTATGTGGGTGCTATTGCATGTTGGCTGGGGCTGTGGTCATTTGAAAGCTTGACTGCTTGACATCCAAGATGGTTCCCTTCAGTCGAAGTTGACTGTTGGCTGGGAGATCAGCTGGGATTGTTGACTGGGACTGTTACCTCTCCGTGCGGGCTTGGTCTGCTCACGTGTGATGGCTGGGCTCAGAGTATGCTAAGGACAAGCATTTCAAAATGAAATGGAGGAAGCTGCAAGACTTCTTATGACTGGGGCCTTGAAGTTTCAGGAAGTCATTTCCATTATATTCTGTCGGTAAACCAAGTTCTTAAGTCCGGCTCCTTCCAAGGGGAAGAGGATTGTATTCCATCTCTTGCTGTTTGGAGCTACATGTGCAGTAGGGTTTTTACTGGGGGCAGCAATTTGGAGACAGTCCTTTGGCCCCCACAATATACATACGTCCTGCATAAAAATATTCTCTCTTCCTCCCAAGACCCCCAGAGTGTCACCTCCTTATTGCATCCAGCTTGACACCTCCATCTGTTCATCTAAGTTGGGTCTACTGTGGATGGGGCTTCTTCATTGTGGTTCCTCAAATTAAGCTCTTCTTCGTGTGAGGACCAATGGGGAAGTTTTTGTCTCCTTCCCTCCAGTAGCCAATATACAACGGTGAACGGTGAGAGGGTGACTGTAGTAGATCTTTCTGTTAAGAGAGGAGAGGAATGTAAGTCTCTTAGCAATCTCTGGTCCATAGCAATTGTGAAGTCTAGATGGACACCTCTTACCCGTTCCTTGAGTAGTGCCCCACCTCATCCCTGTGAGTTGTTCTCTGTGGCTCTTTCTCTGCACTCTGAACTATCCTTTTATACAAGAAATGGCCAGATTTTGTGGTTGAACAGCTTTCTTAGCCTGCTACCTACCAGTAGATAATTGGGGACAGAAAGATCTCTTCATTTTGAACTGCTTCTCCCTTTCCATCCAGTCTCGTATAATTCTCTTAAAGACTCATGTGGGCTTCCTATGTCTTTGAATCTCCTGCATTAGACAGAAGCCACACCCACGGCCTCTTTTAGACCATCTTCTTTTACTGTGGTCTGAAAGTGCCGTGGGACAGCATCCTCCAGGTTCTTGAAAACGTTCTTGTCTAGCAGAGAGTCTAAGAGGCATAACCTTAAGATTCTTGGAAACTGTTGTTTTTTTTCTGAGAGGTCCTCTGAAGATGTGCCCTTACATCTTCTGAGGTATCATTAAAGAATACTCTTCACTTCATCTTTACTGTGAAATCTTTGAGAGTATTTTGTGACTGGAAAGATTATCCTGAGCTCTCTTTTTTTTCTAAATTCTGCTAAAAACCTGAATACTGCTCATTTTTAGTTCATCTCTTTATATCCATACCTTATTGTATGCATCTGGAAGGAACCAGTTGGCATTTTTAGTGGTATGTGTTCTGTTTTCCATGTGGGATTGAGCAGCAGTGTTAGCCAATTTCTGTAGCTTCCAGTGACAATTTCCTTACTGCCCTTCAGATCTTCACTAGCAATCTCCCTAAGGCCTTTACACTTCCCATCTGCACCCAGTCCTCAAGCCTGTGCTCTGTGTTCCAGATTTTTATTATGGTAGCACCCAATTTTCACTTACCAAATTCTGTTCTGATTCTACCACTCCACCAAACTGTGTTGGCCTAAAACAAATAGGTATATTATTTTCCTAATAATTTTGTGGGTCAGGAATTCAGAAAGGGCTCAACTGGATAGATCGTCTCTTTTTGATATGGCATCAACTTCTTCACGCACACGTCTTACGATTTGGTGTCTGTCTGTCTCACTCTCTTCTGCATGGTGTCTCATCCTCCAGAGCCTCTCCATGTGGTGGTCTCAGGATAGTCACACTTCTTTCATGACAGTCAACTTCCAAAAGGCAAGAAGTAGAAAGTGCCAGGCTAATTATGGCTATGCCTGGAACTAGCAAAGTATTACTTCTGCCGTAACCTACTGGTCAGAGGAGCTGGAAGGCCAACCCAGATTCAAAGTGGATAGAGAAATAGACTCTTGTTCGTAATGAGGGGAGCAGAAGGTAGGGTTATAGAAGAGCATATGAAATGGGAGATGTTGTTGTGGTCATCCTTGGGAAACACAGTCAGCCACATGATTTTTAGACATTATTTTAAGTTTGATTTGTCAGCACTCTGTGTGAGTATGCATGTGTGCTATTTTGTCAGATACAGTTATCAGGAGTATATTAGTTTTGTAAAACATTTGAATTAGGAAGCTATCCTCCTTCCACCCCCCTCCCCAGGAATAATTCAAGTAGATCAAAATTACCTATTTGTCTAAAGTTTAAAAGATTTCTTTTTTTAAAAAAATATTTATCTGAGAGAGAGAGAGTGTACACATGGCAAGTCGGGAGGGGCAGAGGAAAAGGGAAACAGAATCCTCTAGCAGAGTCCTCGCTGAGCACAGAGCCCAACGCGGGGCTCACACCCAGGACCTTGAGATCATGACCTGAGCTGAAATCAAGAGTCAGACGCTCAACTGACTGAGCCACCCAGGCGCCCCAAGTTTAAAAGATTTCTTTCATAAAACCACCTGAAATTGCCTATGCAGGAAACTTAAGATTTTAAAGTAACCAAATATATTGAGTTTTTCCTATTGATTTCTTCTATGTGATCAATGTTTAGAAAGTCCTTCCCCAATTTGGGAATGTCTGGATATTTATCCACATTTCCTGTGTGTTCTGGTTTTTCTGCTGACAGTAGTTCTTTAGTCTATCTAGAATTATATTGTTAACTGTTTAGATGATAATCTCTCCCTGCTCATTTGCAATTCAGCCTTCATCCTGTGCAGTGTTATGTGTTCTAGAATCTGTTTCTGTTCTTTTCATATTGATATGTAAATTCTTTTCCATACTATGTGTTTAATTATTGTAACTCTGTCCCAAGCACCTTGAGAATGTGAAAATCACTAAATGTTCACGCCTATAAAATGTGAGCAAATGCCACCTGATCCACACTAAGGATGAATGATTTTATAATGTTGAGAACAAGTTTTTAAAATCCTATTAAGAATTTGTTTAATGTATAATTTATTTGGCCCAAATATTTTTGGGCCAAATTGTGTTTTCTAAAAAAAAAAAAAATAGAAATACCAGTACTCACAGTTTTATACTTGTGAATATGACTTTCATATATATAATTTGGTTCATGGAGGTCTTTCAGAAGGAAAAAATTAATAAAAGCAGTAATTAGATATATCTACCATTGAAGATGGTACAAAATTTACAAAAGTAAAGTAGATACTAGTAAAGAGTTTTTTTTTTTTTTTTTTAAAGATTTTATTTATTTATTTGACAGAGAGAGACACAGCGATAGAGGGAACACAAGCAGAGGGAGTGGGAGAGGGAGAAGCAGGCTCCCCGCAGAGCAGGGAGCC